GTTTAGGCGGTTCGTTTAACTATTGTACGTGATGTACGTTTTGGGGGTGGTTAATGAAAGTGTTCCAAAACGCGACATTAATTTCTTGACGACCTAATAGTTACGGAAATAATGTAACAATGTCGTACAGTTACGGAAATAATTGTAAAGACTTACAACCGATACATACAGAGAAAATGCAAACGATGACTATTGACAATTAAATGGTGAAATCATCAATAATACAAAACACTTTCAACAGATAATACAAAAGGAAAGATAATCATGACTACTCTTGTGGTGCCTGGCACTGCCTGGTGTTAGGCACTCGACTCCCAACCTTGAATCCAGTCAACGAACATACTCGCTCTTTTATTCGAGGTGACAGTAAATCCTGAGAAGCCCAAGAGTTGGTGGTGGGTGGTTTGGATTAGCTGCTTTTCCTCTAGTCTATCACTTCAAAGTTAAAGAGGGCTAGTGTAGATAACCCTCGAATAGCTTTGGAAAGAATTGAATAAATTAAGCAAACTAATACTTTTGTAGGTGAATCTCATACTCTACACAGAGCAACGCATGTGATAATACATACAGTTTATCGATGTACAATTCTGGATAATTGTTTCGGATATTTGTATTGCTCCTCACAATTCAGCTAAGCTGCTATGTTACCTTTTGATCGTCCCCGTCTCTACATAAACCCTCAAGAATGTTTATATCGACATTCTGTGCGATGGCTGGGAATGTTCCATTGACCTGTTTACCGCCAGAATATCATCTCATCAGATTTGCTGCATGCTTGGGATCATTACCTTGCTGAAAGATGAATTCCCACCTGATGAATAGTGTTCCTGTGGAAGCAGCACTGTGGTACAGAATCAACAGCCTCTCAATGTTTTGTGGATAACCGACCCCGTCAACTAAAGTGCAGCCCTAAACTTGTACCCACTATGATTCAATGTAGATGTTGAACACTGAATAAGATACTGTTATTCTCCCTGTTGTTCATTGTTGACAAACGTTGGTTCATCTTTACGGAGCACGTGTCTTCGGTTGTGTTCGTTCCATAGTTTGTGGTCCGATGTCAATTTGCCTATTATATTAATTTTTCGTCATCGTTTCCATAAATATATATATTACTGTAAGCCAAGTTCTGCATGAAATACACTTTATATAGCGTTTATAAAAATATTAAACAGAAGAAACACAAAATGTTTTTACTCACTCATCATGTTAGACTTAAAAGAGTTAAACATTTTAAGCTCTTGTTATTATCTTATTGTGAAACAGACATTAAACGACTTTTTAAGGAGTACAAGTATCAAGTTTTAAGCCTATTATTTTACCATAAGGGTATAAATAAACAAGTTGAATTCCTTACATTTCGAAGTTTTACCAACTTTAAATCTGATTTTAAACTATTGATGTTCCGAAGAGCAACCACGTAAGTCGATGCTCCCAAGTTGAACCAAAATAAAACTTGTTTCACTTTTGCACCTTTATAATACTGCTACATCAAAGATGAATAAAGAAGCATTAATCCTTGTTTATAACACAAGCTTCATAAATTTGAAAAGGGTTACACAACTTACCGTCTGTCCAGCCTTCGGATTTATTGGTTCAACTTTAATACTCACAGAGGAAGGTGGAACTGGAAATATATCGAGATTTTCAATAAATATTATTTATAACAATTGCTGGTAATATCATTAAACATTAAGCAATTGGTGTGTTATATAATAAACATATCTATGGTATCTAATGTATCATTTTGAAAAGATTTTAAGTTCGAGTTTACAGTAAACACATATATTTATTCAGAAGGTTTTGTACCAATAAAAACACTTTAGTTTTCCTAGGACTTAGATTTCTTTTCATGGTGTTTTCGTAACATCGTGTTCGGTTTAAAAATTGAATTGTCAGGATACGCTTACTGCGAGGGATCATCTGAATGGACAACTAAGATATTCAAAGCAGACTTGAAGCAGAATCGCATTATATTTTCTAGAGATCAAACAATCAGCTTACTAAGTTTGCATCTAAAGTATATAATACTATTTAAGAATAGTAAAGAAATACACAAATAAAAAAACATATTTTATTATGAAAAGATAATTATCCCAACGGTTGCTAGTGAAGTACAAAAAGTTGCCAACAATTGTTAGGGAAGTACAAAGGGTTGCCAATAATTATTAGTAAAGCACAAAAAGTCGTCAACAATTGTTAAGGAAGTACAAAAGGTTGCCAACAATTGCTAGTGAAGTACAAAAGGTTGCCAACGATTGTTAGGGAAGTACAAAGGGTTGCCAATCATCATAAGTAAAATACAAAAGGTTGTCAGGAATTAATTGTTAAGAAAGTACAAAGGGTTGCCAATAATTATTAGTAAAATACAAAAGGTTGTCAACAATTAATTGTTAAGAAAGTACAAAGGGTTGCCAATCATTATTAGTAAAATACAAAAGTTGTCAACAGTTGTTAGGGAAGTACAAAGGGTTGCCAATAATTATTAGTAAAATACAAAAGGTTGTCAACAATTAATTGTTAAGGAAGTACAAAAAGTTGCCAATCATTATTAGTAAAATACAAAAGGTTGTCAACAGTTGTTAGGGAAGTACAAAAGGTTGCCAATAATTATTAGTAAAATACAAAAGATTGTCAACAGTTGTTAGGGAAGTACAAAGGGTTTCCAATAATCATTAGTAAAATACAAAAGGTTGTCAACGATTGTTAAGGAAGTACCGAAGTTGCCAAAAATTGCTAGGTAAATATAAAAGGTATAGTTTTAAAAGAAAAATGCAACAGTAGCTCCCAAAAGCGTTAGGTATATCTCAGCTATCAGATATAATCGAAATAACGCAGATGGAAAACAAGACAGTTAACAAGGATGATCGAATAGGATCCAAGGGTTTGCTGCTAGAATCTACAATGTCCCAAAATCCACCACCGTTTACAGTCTAAAGTTGTTTGTGGGCATGGTGGTTACCCCCCACAAAACATTAATAATGTAACAAAAAGGATGCTATTTATGAAGTCAAAATATAAACAATGTTTAATAAAAAACACCAAATATCCATCCATAGACTATAATTACAAAATCATAACACGATCTCTAAAACTGCACCGAAATTATTAATGAACTTTTTGTTGTTGGCGCAGTTATTTTGCCATATAAATTTGGTTTTGCTTTATACATATATTATTGGATCTCTGCGGGAAGTGTTGGGACGGTGGTTGAGTTTCTTTGTCACGTATTTTGCTTCGCAGATTTACATCGAACTAAACTATGAACCAAAAAATACCCCATTAGTATGTACGCCATGATATAGTGAAAGTGATGAGATGGAATACCGAGTTGTCCTTACTCAAAAGTAATGCGCTTTTCGATTAAGTATGCGATATGTTAAGCGTGCCATGTTTTATATACTGTCCTACCTCACCTAAAATATCCAAAATAAAATAAAGTTTTCCAAAAGCTAAATTTTGGCAATATAAAAAGTAGTTATTTGCTATGACCATAATACAACTATTGAAGATATACAATGGAAGATGTTGAGAAAAATACGTGTTCTTCAATGTGGCACGTGATTACTAGGATTGCTTGCTCCTAAAGTAATAAAATTTCTTAGTTAAAAAAAAAGCAATCAATAGAACAAAGGTTGTTTCCACGTCAGATCTCTACAGGCTGGCCATATTTTATTTAGTGCTAGTTTATAGTGGATAAAGGAAGGAAACAACAGAGTAAGGCGGTAAGTTTGATAGTTCCGACATTAACATGAAAAACAATAGTAAAAATAAAACTACCGAATATGAGTTCTGTTTTTGCAACATAATTTAATTATTTTAAGCTGCATTGCTACCTTTTTCTTGACTTTCAAATATATGTATTTCATAACTTTAGTGCTTGAAATACATTTTAAGTATACGTATTTTAGGTTTTCTATAATGATTTTCTAGCCTTTTAATGCACATCCTGGCCATACTTAACTTGTCAGGATGAGCATATAAAATAAATATAATATATATAATAAATATAATGCATATAAAACAACCAACAACTAATTAGTTTTGTATTTAGTCGACGTAAATTATTCAAGATATATCAACATTTTTCCTTTTGAATTGGATCAATATCTGTTGTTGTTTATTTTAAGCACTTTACGACGTTTGTAAAAAAATTTGTTAAGCACGCTTAACATTGCAAATTTGCAATGTTGTGACGTCAATAAAACGTGCGCATACCATGAATCACGAGAAGAATTATGCACTCTGTAGGCTACAACACAATATGGCATATGAATTTCAAAAGCAAGTAATTGAAATATTTGTTTCTCTTAATTTTGGTTTTATTTACTCTTGAAACAGCACACTTTCGGGGATAATGCAGAAGTACATCTAGTATATATATATATTTATTTATTATTATATATATATATATATAATATAATATACATTAACCTCTTTATTATTTACTAATATTTCAGTGTCTCTAAACAATCAATCAATTTCATAAACTAATTGACCGGTATTCATTGACGGTTAATTTGTATTACAATCATATTCTTTGTTAAGCATATAACTCTGTTATATCAGTTATGCGTTTAGATATCAACAAAGTCAAGTATCAGTTACAGGCTCCTTCTGTTTGCATGTAGGTGGTCAGAAACATGGCCGAATCACGTTGAATATCAATATTTCAACGTCCGCGCACGTTTGTTAGATCAACCAACGTTATTAGTTATTCATATTTAAACACATACATTAGTTAAAATAATCAATCAACTTAATTATCAGCAGGCACTTACATGGGTTAGGATAAATAATTTATAATTAGAATTTTAATTGATAAAAATGAGTAACAATTTACAGAAATGAAATTTTACCATGTAGTGCTTCCGCTGAACGTTCTTTTTTCAGGTATCTAATGTTACAAACCAGCCTACCCTAATTACATAAATGTACTTGACGAAGACCGTCTGAACTAATGTGTAATAACGTTTTCTCTATGAGCTGTAAACTTAATATAACGTGTATCATTTTTGATGTGGGTAGAGCATCATTTTGACTGTTTTATGTGTTTAGGGAGTAGAAAGGCTTGGTAATCAAATTAGATAATTTCTACTGTTCTAACTTAATAATAACTACATATGTTATACACCTTCGTAAAATGATGCTTGAATCTAAAACTTACATGTAACTGACAGAGTTACAGATGTTGCCATAGGTCGCAGAGTAGCTGGATTTGAAGCCTCGCATCTATAGACCGCACCATTGTCACTTGCGTCTGCTCGAAAAACAAAAGTACTTGACACCCCTTTTGGTAAAAGTTGAACGGTCCCGCTAACCTAATAATAGATAACCAAAAAAAAATGAGATAAGAATTGGCTCTTAACGTTAGGCAAAAATATTTATATTTCCATCTCAGTAGAAGCGTGAACGGTGTATTCAGTGCTGAACATTAATGGATTACAGAAGAAAAAAAAATCATACGGAGTTTAATAAACCACCATTTTATACATTTCAGAATATTTACTATGTCTACCATTTAATACATTTCAGAATATTTACTATGTCTACCATTTAATACATTTCAGAATATTTACTATGTCTACCATTTAATACATTTCAGAATATTTACTATGTCTACCATTTAATACATTTCAGAATATTTACTATGTCTACCATTTTATACATTTCAGAATATTTACTATACCATTTTATACATTTCAGAATATTTACTATGTCTACCATTTTATACATTTCAGAATATTTACTATGTCTACCATTTTATACATTTCAGAATATTTACTATGTCCACCATTTTATACATTTCAGAACATTTACTATACCATTTTATACATTTCAGAATATTTACTATGTCTACCATTTTATCCATTTCAGAAAATTTACTATGTCCACCATTTTATACATTTCAGAACATTTACTATACCATTTTATACATTTCAGAATATTTACTATGTCTACCATTTTATCCATTTCAGAATATTTACTATGTCCACCATTTTATACATTTCAGAAGATTTACTATGCTCGATCATGGTTTCAGTAAAGTGAAAACGAAACGGAAGTAGAACAGCATATATAACAATCATCTAGCTTATTCCTTATATATATATATACATACATTACAATTATCTGTTTTTTTTAAATGTAGAACAGTTGCTTGGTTTCTTTGAATATAAACTGTTGCGTCAGCGAGTCACATGACCACGTGACGCAACGTTTCTAGAATTATCATGTACTTTGGCGAATGCTCTAGTATTTACTAGTAGGTTAGGCTGGTATATATATAAGAGGGGAAAACGTGACGCGGGAAGGAAGGTAAGGTGTAGATAGTCAATGAGTAATTGAACTGCAGTCAGAGATAGACGTATTGTTGTAGTTAACGTTCGTTCGTTACAGTGTTGTTTTAGCGCGAGTATTGAGAATAAGTGTATCGGTAAAGTTGTATTCGGGAAAAATAAACCAGTTTTATTAAGTAAAGAACTTGTGTCGCTTAAGTTTCGTCGGAACGAAGTTACGGAAAATTAATTAACACACGGAGACGTAACAAAACGATAGTCTGGCTTCTCCTTTACTTTAACAGTGTTTCTGATTCTTCTGCGTGGTTCGCGGTTCGTTACTGATTCTTCTACGTGGTTCGCGGCCCGTTACTGATTCTTCTACGTGGTTCGCGGCCCTTTATTGATTATTCTACGTGTTTCGCGGTTCGTTACTGATTCTTCTACCTGGTTCGCGGGCCGTTACTGATTCTTCTATGTGGTTCGCGGCCCTTTATTGATTCTTCTAAGTGTTTCGCGGTTCGTTACTTATTCTTCTACGTGGTTCGCGGCCCTTTATTGCAAAATTATGTTTCACATTTATGGCATTTGGTAGGTTGTAAGAGCGCCAGTAAAATCCCATGTTTCAATCAGAGTAGCCTAAGAGTTGGTAGTAGTTGCTGATAGCTAGCTGCTTTTCTTGTAGTCTATCAGATCTAAAATTAGGGTTGGCTTGCACAGGTAACCCTTGTATAGCTTTTCACAAATATCCGAAACACACAAACAATAGAACTGATTCCTCTAAACTTAAACTTTCAAGTGTTGAACACTCTGTTAAACTTTTGTCTTAGACAAAGAGAGATTGACCGATTGTTAGCGCTGGTGTTCAATCTTACCAAAAATTACTATGTTCGTTACACCATTCGAACATATATATAAATACAAAGATTTTAACAAAGTTACTTTCTGAACATTTTGAGACATATTGAACAATAATAAAAACAAGGCTGAGCAAAGAATGTCGTTGTTTTCTAAGTGTAAAGCTAGAAAATGGGCTATCTGTGCTTTGTCTACCACGGGTATCGAAACCCGGATTCTAGTGTTGTAAGGCCAGAGACATACCGCCGTGCCACTGAGGGGCAAAGAATGTCGTTGTTTTCGACTATTAAAATACCTACGTTTTAAAAAAACCTATACGTAAAATACGAGGAAAAGCAGTCGCGCGGGGTGTTATTCGTTGGTAAAAGAGTAGCCCAAGAGTTGGCGGTGGATGGTAATGACTAGCTATCTTCCCTCTAGTCTTTCACTGCTGAATTAAGGGACGGCTAGCGCAGATAGTCTTCGTGTAGCTTTGCGCGGAATTCAAAACTAACCGAAGAAAAGAGCAACCGGGAGGCCTTTAAGTTACACTAATAAGACAACTTCCAACTATGTTCCATGTTATATGTCTTTAAAAATGGCTAACATGTGAGAAATGTGTTCTCTCGTAGAAAGATGATTTTACTCTGTTGAGGGTAAAAAAAAATGTAAAGAAACACTCCAATCTTACAAAATATACAAAATTCTATTACCTCTGCATTTCCTTTAAACCATCGAAGGGTTGCTGAGGGATTTCCTCCAAAAGAAACGCAGGTGAGCCTCTGTAAATCTCCAGCTCTGATTACCTTGTCTTGAAAGTTTTTAATCGATGGAGGTCCTGGCGGGTCTGTGGGCAACAACAGAAGCAACGAAAGAAAATGAGAAGGCGAAAGAAAATGTGTACAGAGTATTTAAATGTATTGGTGTTCTTTATTCACACCCATTTATCTCAATATTAGAGCGCAGTGAAGAAAATACTCTGAATATAACTGATATCCAGTTATATTTCTGTCAATGGAATCTGGTGGGAAGCCACATATGTGCATCATTCAGGTAATATCAAATCGCACACTTGTTACAGTTTATTGAATACTTGGTAATATAAAACTATTGTCGTATTTCCAGTGCAGATAAGTATACTGTGAAATAATGTATAAAATACTGATACACAAATGTCCGTATACATCATCAACGATAATCAAAATATGGAACAAAGAACATTATATAATTTGATATTGGCTGCATGTGTTTACAATGTACGAATAGCAAGCATTCTTAATGTCAATTTTCACCGATAGGTGTCTTACAGTGCCGCAGATATCGAAAATACAAGATGCTTCACTTATAATTTTTACAGAATTTTAATGTTAAAAATATTTCAAAATCTTTCCCACATTAGTTTCAGGTTAAAGAAAACGATTTCAATATTTTATTGTCTTGACTTAATTGAGCCTATCAGTGGCTCAGTGGTAAGCTTGAGGGCGTATAACGCTAAAAGTCGGAGCTCAATCCCTGTGATGAACACAGTACTTATATTCCACTATGTTCTTTTTTGCGTTTAAATGAACAAATCAGTTGTATTAGAGCAAGTCACAAAAACCTTTTACGGTTGTTTTCTTTGTTAGCAGTTGATGAAGAATGTAGCAAAAAATAAAAGGATTTCAGAATGTACTTCTACATCCATATACTCACATATATATATATATATTAGTATTTTCAGTTAACTTATACGCTATATATATATACATATATGAGTATTTTCAGTTAACGTATACGAATATATCGTATAAGGTAACTGAAAATACTCATATATGTATATATATATCGTATAAGTTAACTGAAAATACTCACATATATATATCGTATACGTTAACTGAAAATACTCATATATGTATATAGATAGCGTATAAGTTAACT